AATCTTCTCAAACTTTCTTTTAGAGAGGGAGGGGTTGCAGAAGCCTCCAAGAGAAAGCCTTTTGGCAAGTGAGGCATTGTTCAATATATTCGCAAACTCGGCGATACATTCCTGCCCAATACACATAATCTGCCAATCATCGGTAGGTGTGGTGTACTCCCGCATGACCACCAAGTGGGGTGTCATGAAATTCCTTCAACAATTTTTCTATTCATTGGGATGTTGCCGACAACACCAGATGCCCCCGATACAATAGAATTCTTTGTCAATATTCATAATAGGAATGCGATATGTTTTATGAGACAAGATCTTGGATAATCGTCTATAATGCCTGATCATATTTTTGCTCGGCCACGAGCTCGTCTCTAGCTGGCCACTGAAATGAAGAAATCGCAAAAAACTTGGTTGTTTCGGTGGGAACCAGCCTCTGTGCATGATCAGTAGACATCAATGAAAGCTCATGCTGATGGGAGAGGGAATCAGCAGCATTGATACGACCTGGTTTATAAACCACATTGAAGGAATACCTGAGAAGTTTGACTATCCAAGACTGCTGAGCATAAGTACCAATCCTCTTAGAGAGCAGATGACGCAAACTATGATAATCCATATGCACTATGAAATGACGGCCAATTAGATATGGACGCCAATGTTGGATGGAAAATACTAAACTCATTAATTCTTGTTCATACACTGATATCCCCTGAGCTCGAACTCCCACTGCTTTACTAAGTAAGAGATACACCTATGTTCTTGCAAGAGAACCGCACCTATGCCGGAGCTAGAGGCATCACACTATCCGATGAACGATTTGTTAAAATCCAGCATTGCAAGCACATAAGTTGTGATAAAGGCCTGCTTTAATTTATCGAAGACATCTTGTGCAGATGATAGCCAAGAAAACCTCTTTTCTACGGCTTTCTTCCGTAGGAGATTAGTCAATGGGTGAGCGATGCTATCATAGTATTGCCCAAAGCGTTGTTAATAGCCAGACAACCCTAGAAAACCACAAACAACCTTAGTCGAACAAGAAATTTCCTAGTCCCAGACAACTTATATCTTAGCCGGGTCCATGGAGACTTCATCAGAAGAGATAATATGCCCCAAATATTCCACTTTTGGGCTGCCAAATGTGCACTTCTTGCGATTTTCCACAAAATGATTCTCTTGCAGTAACTGAAGAGTTTTAGTTAAGTGCTGCAACTGCTTCTATAAACTTGGGCTATATATTAGTATGTCGTCAAAGTATACCAAAATATATTTACGCAAATATAGTCGAAAGAGATTGTTCATTATTTCCTGGAAGATGGCAGGAGCATTGGTTAATCCGAAAGACATGATTAAGAATATATAGTGTCCGCTATGATTCTGAAAAGTAGTTTTATGCACATCATCCGGTGCCACTCGGATTTAGTGATAGCCTGAACGAAGATCGATTTTAGAAAATATTGTTGCATCGGAAAGCTCATCTAACATTTTTTGAATCACTGGGATTGAGTATTTGTCGACAATGGTGGATTTACTGAGCTTCCGATAGTCAACACAAAACCTCCAACTCCTATATTTTTTTTTACCAATAAAACGGGGCTTGAAAAAGAGCTAGTGCTGGGACGGATGATTTCTGCAATAAGCATATCGTGTACCAAAGTCAGTACCTGTAGGGGCGTACATATACTGGTGCTGCAAGGGTTTCAATGGAATGTGGTGGTCGCTATGGCGAGTCGATGGCAATTCATTCGGTTATGCAAACTCCTCAAAAATCTGCACAATTTTCGGAAATAGTACAAGCTATTTCTCAGGACTGTCGTGGCAACTCTTGATGTCTGAACGTAAAAGTAAGGCATTGAATTCCACCTCCATAATATCCAACAAGTTCCGAATAGATTCCAGGCCTCGATACAGCCTTGGATCGCTGCGCAAGGCACCTGCTGCCCCGTTAAGTAATACTGCATCTCCAAAGCTTCCCAATCCATTTGAACTTTTCCTAGTATCCAGAGCCATGCAACACCCAATATTATATCCACCCCACCAAGAGGAAATATGTGACAATCTGTCTGCACTTCTACTCCATCGAATTGTATACGAAATTTCGAGCATGCTCTCGTACTTTCCAAGGTAGGTTCCATCTCCTCAGTAAATTCACCCTCCCTTATCTCACTTAACTCCGCAACCTAGTTGCCTAAATCATCATTCACCATGACATTAAAATATTTACTTTCGCATTTTTGGAGTGGACTATAAGGTTGTTTGCACTTATAACAAAGGCTTTTCTTTTGACACTCGCGATACTCAACCGCGGCTTAATTTTCTTGTGCTTCCCCGCGAGGAAAGGGTTGAAGTGACTGATCGCTACCACCCCCTGCAATACTGCTGCTAGTCGAATGACGGTTTTCTACTCTCCAACTGTGTTTGAAGAGATATTGCTTCCAACCCGCCTAACCAAGTTACTTCGTAATGTTAAAGAGGTTTTTTTTACAAGTAAAATTCTATTCCATTTTTCAACTCCCATTCAATGCTTCTACTGACACGGATTATGGGTTCGAGATCCGGGGGCTCCACTACCCTTAGTTTATTTCTGATAATTCGTTTCAAGCTCCCTAAATAACACCCTAAGGCTTGTGCTTCTTTCAATTGTTGAGCCTAAGTAGCAAGTTCAGTGAATAAATTGATATATTCGTCAACAAAACCTATTTGCCTTAACGTTACCATCCTCTCATGTGGATTCCCAATGAATCGATTGTCAAACTTAGTAACCAATGCCTATGAGAATTCGATCCAAGAGGCAGAAGCATGCTTCATCATATGCCAACGGGACCAATGGAGCGTCACATCTTCCATCGCCACTCATACAAGAGTCACTTTTATCTCCTCGGGGACTCCGTGTAATACAAAGTGTTGTTCGGCCCTAGCAACCCATCCCAAGGGGTCGTGGCCATCAAAGCTAGGGAGTTGTGCATCCTTAAGCTTGAAATCGGTTTGAGGAGAAGTCCAGGTTCCTCCAACATCCTTAAACAAACATTTTGTCCCGCTGATGCCGGCAGCCCTTGTCGACAAATCCGCTACCTCTCCTCCTTCTGCCATATCTCCCTGAGCAGTGATCAAGCCCCTGATAGGTGTGGCAGGCGGCCCATGTGGAAACAACCCAACAATCGTATCCCACATGGCTGTTGAAAGTTTTGTCTTCAGAGTATCCACTTGTCTATCCACCTTTAATTCGAGGCGCGACAATCCTATATGTTGTGCTTCCACGCCTGTTTGAAGTTCCTCCAGGCTTCCTCTAAAGCTTCAATGCGCTGCACATTTATTAGCATCATTCCTCCTCCGCTGAGATCTGGCCGGTTGGATCAATTTGATATTACGAAAACTTAAGAGAACCAAAAGACTAAACTTTATTGATAACTAAGGAAGATCTACTCTTCTCGAACCATGCCGAAGCCGTGAAATTGAAGAAAATCATAATGACTAATAATTTCTCATAATAATACTCCCTCCGTCCCAAAATAATAGGGACATTTGGGATGAGTACGAGAATTCAAGAATAATAGTACTATATTAATAGTGGGTGTAAAACTACTTTTAAAAGATCAAAATGCCTATAATTAAATGGAGAGTTAGTTACCAAAAATGAATATGAGAAAATTGTTTTGAGATAGAAAGAGTACTTAAATACTATGTCAAAACTACTATGGGTCTCAGTCCGACTAACCTAACAATTTATTAAAAATAATCAAATAAGAAAAATAAAGAACCTAAAGTACTTAATAATAAAAGTTTTGAGTCATTGTTACAATTAACCCAAAACACACTTGCTTTTTCCTCTCACCGCGCAAAATTGATAATAAAGAACCTATAATTAGTTTTTTTTTTTTAAGGTATGACCAAAATTAATTAAAGTTATTTATAATGAGACCAAACTTGATTGAAATTATTTATAATAAGACCAAAATTGATGAGATTTTTTTTTTTAATGTTTGGACAAAAATTGATAAATTTTAATTATATTGAGACCAAAATTAATTTTTTCCCTAATTTTATTAATAAATACCAATAGTTACTTAAAAAAAAAAAATCTATTATTTTAAAAGTATTAATACAAAAGTGATTAGCATGTAATTTTATTATAAAAATCAAATCATTAAAATTATATGTATAGCTTTTGAACATATGTAGGATTGTGTGGAGATTTTTTAAAATAAATAAAAATTTAAATTTAAATAAGTCTTTAATTTAATAAAATAATTTCTAATAAAATATTCAATATATGTTTTCTATCCAAAATAGTATATCTGCTCTAATATCAACACAATGATCAAAAGTCAAAATCATATGTTTACTCGTGAAGTTTTGGTTTTGAATTTTGAAGATGTAAATATATATTGATATAATATGAATGTAAAATTAAATTTTAATGTAATAAAATTAATATTTGATTTAATATTTAAAAATAAAATAAAATTAAAATAGTAAAATTAAAGATAAAATCACCCAAGTAAACAAAGCCATTTTATCTTAGTTTAAAATACAAAATTAAATCCTATTCTACTTTATTTATTTTTTCACTAAAAATTTCTTTTTACTACAATATATTATATTCTATTTAAATCAAAATCTCAAACTAAACACACCCTCACATTCCGTTTACTTGTATATTGTTTTTATTGTTTCTTTACTATACAATCTCATTATCATTATTAATGATAAAAAAAAAAAAAAAAAAAGTAATTTCTTTGCAAATTATTATTATATATTGTATAAACTATTAACTTAAACTACTATTCAAACACAAAATACCGACACAAAGCTAAAGGAAACAAAACCTGCCATACTATTAATTTTTATTAATACAAATACTAACACACGAAGTGAAAAAAATGAAAATAAAAAACATTACAGCTTATCATATATATACATATATATATATATATATTCCATAGATAGATTCATATTTACTTAAACAGCTTTGCATGACATAAAACAAAGGCTCAACATTAACACAAAAGAAGCATACTTTTGTGTACCACAAAGAAAAAATATTATATACCCAAACAACACCCAAATTAAATACAAAATGAATGTGACATCTTGGGCCAAAACTCAGCTGTCATGTCTAAAGTATTATTATGAACATTAATGAAGTTGTTTGGTTGAATTATTAAACCATCAAAATCCAGGGCACTGCCAACAGGCAACTCACCACATACTCATCCCAACAAATTCTTTCACTGGAAAGTAAGGAGATAGAGAGACATAGGAAGAAATGTTGTGGCCTAAAATCTCTTCAAAACTCACACGTAACTTTTGTCTAAAGAAATTTCTTCGTTTGAATAATTAGGGGCTATATATTTAAAATTTTGTCGAATTATGAACTGCATGAGGGCAACAAAGATATAACATCTATTGAAAATAATAACTGTGATAAGGATAGATCACCGGATGATTAGCCTAGCCGCCACTCTGAGTTGAGAATTGAGGCACTCGACCAAGTGGGATGATCAAATCCTTCATTAGCTCATATTCTTCGGTACTGATATGTGCTCCCTCGAGTACCTAAGAGAGAAAATAGTAGCAGCAAGAATAATTTTGGACTTGCACCATATTGCAATAAAGAATTATTTCTTTCTTAAAGGAAGTTTACGTAGTTGTGTTATTGCGGCAACAATGGTAAAAGATTAGTTTGCAAGTTGTTCATACACTATATAGTACACACATGCCCTTTCCTATGATTAGTCAGGTCTTTCAGGAAAACAGAAAAAGCTCAAGCTGCATAACTACAAAACATGCCAATTATTAGAAGAAAAAAAGAAGAAAAAATTGTAATTTGTTCAAACCATTTATGGAAGCAACTTTCTCCATAAGCAATAAAGAAATTTTTACTTTTTCAGTGCTTTAAGCTAATTCCAGTTAACGGTACAAAATCCATTTCTCCTCGTCATTTCAACAGCAGAACATAAACTGCAATCAAGATATTCACTACAATGAGGATCCATTTCTATTTAAAGCTTGAATTAGAATTACTATGTTAACTTCAAGAAGTGGGTAAAAAATGCATATAACTTAAATAAATTGAAAAAATTGTTAAATTCAACCACCAAACATAAAAAGTTATAGGTGTGGTGGGTTTTTTTTGTGCTTAGACTTTGAAGTGATTATTTTCATTCCTCTTCCATCTTTTGCTATCCAATACGCATGCAGATAATCACTATCATATAGAACTAAGAGAACTAAATGTGTGTGTGCGAGCGTGTGTATTTATGCCCTCCAGGACTAACCTTGGAAAAAAAGTCAAAGAAGTTTTAGGTAAACCATTTTCATATCCATGATTTCCTCGCCTCTTATACATAATTAGAACCCAGCACAGGCCAAAGCTGATTTACAAAAATTATAAAGTCGTGCACTTAAAATACTAGAGAAGTACACACGTTTCACAAGGTAACATGCTGATGTTCCTACGTTTGTTCATGTTACCACGAAATACAGCTAAAAAAGTAAGATCATTCACAAAATCAACTCTTTATACAGTCTAAAGATATTTTAGAGATAAGTGTAAAAAGAACATGGAAGTCACAAAGACCATACATCCAACAAGTACATTAAGAAATTCAGAAAATATAGAAAGGCAGAGAAGTTTAATACCCTGGGAAGATGAATCCTTGAGCCCATCAAATATGGGGCAAGTGTAGGGATTCTGCTGACAGAAAGAGCATCCAGAAACAACAGAATTAGAACTTGCCACTGCTTCATCCGGAATCCGGGAAGAGAATCAGTGAAAGACATTGTCTCTAATAAGCGTACCTGCAAAAGACCGAAAAACATGGTGTTGATGATGACAAAAATGACTGACAATAAAGCGAACAAAATTTATTAAGCCAATATAGGTCCTTCCAAGCAAGAATACCTCATTGCACTCATGTTGAGGTAGTGTTTCTGGATGAAAGTACTTCACAAATTTAAGACATATAATAGGTTTCTGACTGCCAACATTCAGGCTGTGTTCTTTTGTGGATTTTACTATGGGTTTTTACTATTGAGATTTTTTTCTCTCCAAAATCATCACATCAGACAATTACTTTTCTTTTTTTATATTATACTATAAAATTATTTTACATTCAAAACATTATATCAATATTTATTTATATCACATCAAACAACTATTCAAATTCAACTTTTTACTATTCAAAAATCCAAACCCAAAATCCCAAAACCCACAAACAAACACACCCTCAATCATACAGAATGCAATTCTGAAGTACTTACACCGTCATCACAAGCAGATGAATGGAAGTGATGTTGCTTTCACTTTTTCAGTTTTATGACTTCGCTAAAAATTATGAATTTTTTCCTGTACTCTATGCTTTTCATGAATCAAATTAGGAAGCCACTAAAGTTGGAAGAAAACAAATTCTTTATCAAGGCAGATTCTCAAAAGACTTTCAACCACTAACTATAAAATCAATTATTTACTCTTCATGCGATCAAAATAAAAAAATATATTGACTCTTCGTTTCCGATCAAATATATAAATATATATTTACTCTGCATATCCAATTCTCCTCAAACTTACAATTCCTTGCTCCAGGATAGATATTGGAATAGGAAGCCTGATTTCTGCAACAAGTCCAGGCAAGGCTCTCGAAAGGCAATCAGCTAGAGTTTGCTTAATTTCAGAGGACCGGCCATCGGACAATACTATCTTGCGTGGATACTCCCTTCCATTCACAGATAAGTAATCCTCATGAAAACTTTCCTCCTTTCCGTATATATAAGCTAAAGAGGATGATGATATCCAGGCAAAGATTGCCATAAACATTGTAGAAAAAGACGACAGCTGAAACAAAATCAAAGTTGATTACCAACTTCATAATTATTAAAATAATTTTTTTTGCAATTTTATACTTTGAATTTGCCTTTAATTAAAAGAACTTACATTTAAATTGAACCCATCTGGGGGACTATCATACCATGAATCCTCAGAGTCCAATAGATCATCATTTGAAGTACCTGGTTTTGGAGGCCACTTCAGTGTAACAGGGTCGGTGTCCACAATTTCCACACTTTTGTCAGATTTAGATTCATCCAATCCAAGGGAAGGTGGCAATATTGTCACACCTGCTTCAGACACTAGATGCAAGAAAGAATGAAACAAATGAGAAGTCAGATGCATAGTTGTATAATAAATGGAACTGGGATCAATACCAAGGAGAACTTCATACCAGCATCGGATACATCAGATTTTCCGGATGAGACAGCTTCCTCAGCCTCACTTAGAGCTCTTGCACAGGCTTCAGCAGATGCTAATCGATATGATTCCTCACTCGCTTCCTCATTCATAGAATAAGATTCGGCTGCAGCTCCTTTCTCATCATCATTCAATTTTCCAACACCTTGCCCATCACCATTACTTGTATTGTCAGCCCAGGTAACAGACCGGGTTTCTTTTTTTGAAGCTTTCGTCCTTAGAGAAGATTTCAGGAGAGAAGGACCAGCTGCAGGTTGCTTCTCCATTAATCGTTTATGTTCTTCCTCCGAAGCACCATTTTGGCTAGGTCCAGCTGCAAATGGCTTCCCCAATTGGAGATTCTCTTCCTTTGTAGCATCGCTTTGGTTAAGACAAGCTGCATCTTCTAATACATTGATATCTGTTGCAGGCAAGTTCTTATGTTCATTTAACTTCTTGATTTTGGCATCCCGAGCGTTCACCAAAGAAGCAGCTGGCTTTTGCTCTGTTTTTCCAAGACTATTGGGCTCTTTACAGATAGCTTTTCCCCTTGGTTCTTTAGCCTTTGTAGGGGCAACTGCCTTTGAAATGCTATACTCATCTTGAGTTATGATAGTACTAGTGAAGTCCATGTCATTGCCCAGAAAGTCTGCTACATTTGGCAGATTATACCTATCTTCAGGAACTGTTGATGTACAATGAGATCATGAGCCAACAACTGGGTGTCAGAAATAATGGCATTTAAACAACAGAGTTAACACAAAACTTACCAACTCGTTTCTGTTTTACATCTTTTTTGAAACTATTTTCTTTCTGAGATTCCAATTTCTGATCTCTCTTTGGTACGTATCCATCAATAGCATTTGAGGGGCCAATCCATTCATCCAAAGAGACTTCTGCAGTTTTCGTGTCCGCTTTCTCGTGAATCTTCAGATTTGAAATTTCTAAATCTCCATCCTTTCCCATATTCACAGCAGATTCTAAACCTAAACCATCACACAGATTTAGAACTTTTTTTATTTTGGCAGTGTTCAGAGTTGATGATCTCTCCTCTAGCAAACTTGCAGAAAAGGCTCGACTATGTATCAAACAGGTGGCTGAGCAATACATATATGTTTCTTGAAGATCATAGACTTTATGCTCCTTCAGTGAGATACGGTAGCGGCCCTTCCGTGGTTGCTCGGAAGGTAAAGAATTGCTGCAAAGCGGGTAACCACACGTATGGGCTATTGTGCGCTCAGTCACCACATCTTGATAGTCACTTCGTGACATCAATGAACCAGCTGCCAATAGTTGTTTCTCATTTTCTATTCCTTCGAGAAGATAAAGTTGAAGCTTATGTACTGCATCCTTTACAGTTAAAACTTCATTTTTTGCCATCTTCGTTACCTGGTATGATAACTTAAGTACATGAGCTCAAGAATTTTTCAACAATTAAGCAATATTGAATATCATTCTCCAAACAATAAAAATAAATAACAATGAGATTTCTTGAGCCATGCATCTCATTTAGTTTAAAAAATGAAATTCACACAAGATACGTGTTATGCTTAGGTTCTCTTGATGCACACCCTATGAGTTCACTTCCTAGCGAAAGTTTTTGGTCAAAGCTTATTGTTTTAAGAAATGGAAACTATAAGTTAGCTTCAACCAAGTGTCAAATAAATGCATCAATTGGGACCATCCCAACAACTTTAAGGCAATAATTTACCTAATAATGAGTAAAAGAACAAGCACTAACACATTGTTATAATATCCGAGTCGACCAACATTCATACCTAAATTCGGTTTCTTAAATACCTTGAATTAACAGACATAGCTTTTGTCCGAAATTCAGTAACATGAAACATACAATCAAATTTAACCCACTTTTGATAGCACATGATTCTGAAAATATTATTAGATTTAACCCTTTGTGTCCTATAATTCACTGATTACGCTCTCAGTTATATTAAGACATGTTTTCATTAAGATGTGTGAGCTGTCTAATTTGGACCTGAAACATGCTTTGTCAAGCATGCTGTATTCATTATTGGTATTTTTTCATAAATAATTCAAATATCAAATCCTAGTCTCACCAGATATCTGATCATTAGATCGTTCCAGACTAAAAATTTAATTTTGTTTAAATTTTATTTATTAAAATTTAATCACATTTCTGTCCACAATTGTTGCTTCAATGTCCTACAGGATGTATACAACCACAATAGGTTCAGCACCATTCACAATCAGGAAAGTAAAATACTTGCCCTACACAACTATTTACCCAAACATATAATCTTACAATACACATTACCACATACCTTATCATTGTGAATTTTCATGTCGCTCATTTCCTCAAGCAAACTATCAACCCCTACAGAATTATTACTCGACTCCCTTGGGCCAGAAGTAGGTGCCACACCCACTGAAGCCATCTTGAAAATATCCAGCTGAATTTATATCCTTAGAAAATTCACCTACAGAAAAAGAGAAACAAAATGTGAGCTATCAACCATGTGCATCTGTATTATGCGGTTTCTCGTCAAAATGCATCAAGTGCACATATTCTACAACAAATAAAAATGGTGTACCATTTAATGGCCTTGTTTATTATGAAAATCCCAAGAAATCTTACTAAATCCACGTAGATATTGAAAGAAAAGAGGGAATAGCATCACTTCTAAGACCATCAGAAATGGCTAACCACTGAGTGAAAAAGGGAATTTTAGTCAGATGGTTAAGCTGAAAAAAGGCCTGCCATACCACAAGATAGGCACAGCCTTATGTCCAAGAACATTAAGCGCTCGAAATTAAAAGGTGGGTGTTTGAGAAGGTGATAGGCGAGCATATGTGTATTAAATATACTTCATTTGTCTATAACATATGCTCCCTAAAAAATATTCATAAGTAATGAAATGAGAGAGTTTGGATTGACAATATATTTTTTAAAAGATTGGATGGTAAGGCTCTCATATAATCAATTGCATTTGTCAACTCATACTTGTTATTTTTCGATTGAATATATTTAGTTAGACACGAACAGATTCATTCAGCTTTCATATTCCAAATCCAGTATCGGACTTCATACAAAGTTGGGCCTTTGTTTGTGCAGATGCCTTAATTTATCACTCGTGTGTGCTTCGAATGCCACCAAAATTTCCTCTATCTATACCTCTATAAACTTTGAGCTGCTAAGTTCTAAACCAAGTCATCTACTTGCTCCAACACCTCAATCAAAGGACAAAATTGCAATAACCCCAATCCTTAACAGCTAAATTGACAGGGTAATATCAGAGACCGAAATCCCTAGGGCAAACAAAGAACATCCTAAAAAGGGAAGATAAAAATCCCGTGCAAATTCCAGCAAAAAAATCAAACAAAGCTGTTATTACTGATCCAAGATCCAGTAGACTATATTCTCTCGAATCAACATCAACGTAAACTTCAATTTATTACGGAAGCAACGATTCGAACTCAGTTTACCCTAATATCAAACCAACCGACGTCAATCACACATCCAAGACCCAATCACAAATGACACGCCACGAAACGCAACAAACACAGCTAAACCGAAACCCAATATAAGGTAATATTGCCGAAATTAAGCCTCATCCAACTTCAAGGGGGTGACATGCATCGATGGAGAAGGAGAATTTCCCAACTCGCCGGACAGATTCACCGGAGAAAGGACGAAGAGATCGATCGGAACGCATCGGCGCTAATCGCGAATCGAAGAGGATCTGTATTCGAATGAAGTCAGTGAACCGGTTCAAGGATCAGAGCGAGCAGACCGGCTCAGCCCAGATCGGTTCAAACCCAGGCAGCCTATGATCCGACGGATCTCTCAAAGATTCGGGTTGGATAGCGAGTTGCCGGATCGGAACTTCAAGTTGGGCTGGTCGATGGCGTGCTAGCCTTCTTCGATAATCACCGACCAAAATATATAACAAAAGCAATAAAAAAAACCCGCCCCACCCACCCTCGACGCCAAGCACACGAAGAAAGAATAAAAACACGAAATCTGCAAATCGCTTGAACGCAAAAGAAGCCGCAAGTTTCTTTAATAAAGGGGGAAATTGGAATGGAAATGAAAATGTAAAAGTGCAAAGAAAGGAAGAAAAAGAGGGAGCAGTAGCTGAACGATGAAATTAGGGCAGGGCAGCGGCCATGGCGATGAGCATCGGTGACTGGCTTTGACGCAAAAAATTGAGGAACTGAAGCTGGTTCACTTACACCGAATCCGACGACCCTTCTCTGATTCCCTTGAATGTTTGAAGAAGAAAAGAAAAGAAGAAGGAGACGAACGAGTTGAAGAAAAAAATGGAAGGAATTGGAAGAAGTAGGTGCAGGCGGTGGCTGTCCGCTGTGTTAGTGCATAAGTTAAAATTGTTATTTTTTACTTGGCGGAACAAATCATCCAATTATTGACTACTTGCCCATTCGCTTAGGATCCGCCGGTTCGGTTCAAACCGAAACCGTTTCGGACACAACTCGAACCAAAACCGTTTTTTCTACGATTCGGTTTAGGTCTGTGATTTTCTCAAATCGGCGGTTTACGGTTGGACCTGCAGGCAGCCACCGGGGGTGCAAACACGGGGAAGCAGCAGAAGCATGCCAGCGGATAGGTGAAAACGTTAAGTGTATTTTATAATAATAATAATATGTTTATAATTAATATTTTTATATATCATTAAACTTTTATAAAATAAAAATAATACTAATATTACCTTTTTCATCTCATTTATCATGTTCAATTTTTTGTCATTTTTTTTTCGAAAAAAAATTATACATTTAATCTTATTTTAATTTTTTAAATTTATAATATTTTTAATATTAATTAGACTAATTATTTATCTATAATTTTTTTTCACTAATTATTTATTAATTATATATTTCTTAAATTTTTGTGTCTATAAAAAATGAAACACGATAACTAGAACAAAATAAATAATAAAAATAAATTTATTTTTATTATTTATTTTGTTCTAGTTATCGTAATTATTGGATATATATCCAAAAGCACCTGAAAAAAAATACGAACACAAAAGGCAGCAAGGGCCTGTGGAGCTGTCTAACGGCAGAGGCCCAATGGAACTTGATTGGTTAAGACTCAATCTTAACTACCAAAAGCATGGAGTACGTGGTTCAAGTACATGTTTGGTGAGTTCGAAACAATAATTAGAACACATTTCCTATAATCAAGGGTGGTTGCTTATGTTCGACGGGTTCCCACGTCATTAAAAAAAAAAAAAAAAAAAAAAAAAAAAAAAGAAAAAAGAAAAAGATGATGGTTGCTTATGTTACGATGAATATGGCAAATAAATCATTATGCACGATTATCATTTTTAACAGTTTATCCATGAATTTTAAGAGTTTTATCCGTTATGGGAAAGGATCTGGTACTGATGTTATAGTATAATTCAGCAATGTTGAATCTGATCTTAATCATTCATTATAATCTAACGACTATAATTAGTGAAGGGTATTTTAGTCTTTTTATTAAATTACTTTCTTCTCCTTCGTTCGCAATTCGCTGAATCGATTCTTGACCTTTTCGCAATCTTTGTGCGCTGAATCGATTCTTGCCTTTAGTGCGATTCTCTCGTCATTCAGATTCTCTCAACCGCCGGCGAGTCCTCTGGTGCGAATCCAACATCAAACTTCAATCTAATTATGTTATGTGACATAGACATTTTGATTCATAATCTTCTTGCTGCGAACTCCAACACTTCGATTCAGAGTTCTCACTCAAACTTAGGTTGTGTAATTTGTATAATGTGTTTCTTGTGTTTTCTAATGTGTTTCAATCTTAAGAAAATTTGCAAACTAAGTTTGTATAATATATCTTTAGGGAAGAAGTAGCGAGTATAGTTGCCTATTTCTACATTAAGGTTGTCGGAGCTATAATGTAAAAGGGATGCCTTTTTTCCTTTTTATTTTTGGTCTTCTTTTACCTCTAGTGTGATACAAGAAGTCGTATATGTGGTTACATATGATATGTGTGTGTATAAGTTCAACCCTTTGATGAATTAGGGCATCGGAGCGTTGGGTTTCCCATTACTGGGTTGGTTTAAGTACAAATCCATTTAAGATAACACCAGAAATAGAGGAGCAGGGGACATAGGTAGTTGGGCAAACTGCATATAACATGACAGGACTAATAGTAGCAGCATGTGATGTGAGTTCATTGCAAAGCTAACTAGAGTCTGCACATCTTTATGAATTCATGACAGGAAAAGATATCTACAAGAAAGTAAATATGTAGTTAGTTTGTTGTGTTGCAAGAAGTTGGTATTCGGGTATATAGTGTATGTAAGTAAACGAGATTGTATTAATTTTATATAGAATGTTTTGTTATTTGACATTTGATATAATAGTTTTGTTATTTGAAAGTATTGGTTTGTTGTCGATATGTTACTTTGTTAACATAAGTAGTTTATGTTACTTAGATATGATGTTGAAGTGTCATCCATTGATCTGAAAGTGACTTTTTTATTTTGGTTGATCTGCAATGGCTTATTTTTGTTTATTTATTAATTTTTGTAGTTTTTCTTCCCCCATTGCCGACATGAACATTGGGTGCTCTTTTATATTGATATACCAAGACATAAAATTTGGTATTTCAATTCACTTAACCCCAAAGAAGGTTGGATTACAGACAAGCCAATAATGAAAATGTTGTGGTATTATTTTAGGACCATTGTTTGACATCATTTAGCTAATGACACGTAGAAATGGAAGTCTTGAATAATTTTTCTTAAGAATTTTTTATAACGAAATACCAATCCTTGTTGTGTATTACAGGTGTGAAGGAAGTTTTGAATTTGTTTTTCCTAATCATATCCCAAAGCCAGATACCCGTTCTTGCGGTGTAATAGTGGCTTTATACATGTATTACTTCAATGGCCATATTGCAAATAGTGTCTTGGAGCAATTCAAAGATGTGAATAATTTGAATGCAAAAAGAGCAAAGGTATGTGCGGAGTTACTTTTGCAAGATGCTAATGAAAAGAAATCTAATCTGTTGGACAGGTTAAGAATTTACAATGAACAAAATAAGCATGTGAGGAAATGAAACTGTAAATATATTTAGACGAAGATCAAGGCGGAAGTTGTGATTTTTTCAACCGTTTGTAGTTTCTACTGGTTATTTTTTAAATAGACAATTTGTATTAGTTGTTTCTAATTGTGATATATTGTATTACTATTATTATAAATGGATGGTGTGTAACCGAGGATGTGCCTGATGGAGCCGCAACTTAATAAAGAATTGCTGAAAAAGCACATGATGGTGATGAGAAAGTTGTGGCAGCATTAGCAGCAGTACAACCAGCCTTTCATCAGATTGTGATTGCTGATGGCCAACAAATCAGGATCGCTTGAATGTGTTCGAGGCAATGGAGAATAGGCGGCAATGGAGCAGTTTCTACAGAAAATCGTCAGCGTGTTAATAGGTGAAAATCTGTTTGCTTCACAGGGGGCTTATTATAATATCTCAGGTTCGTGCATCGTAAGCTCTGGTCTCGATCAACCTTAAGTTTAAATCGTGCAATAATTTGACTCTTCTTCGACAGGTTTGAAAATGAATTTGGGGCACCAAGGATAGGTTCTCGGGCAAGCGGCAATTCTTACATGAATTGGGTGGCAAAGATGGCTGTCAGATTAGATACCTCATCCACCGTTGCTTTAGGTCTCATTCACTCCCGGGAGTTAGTCTCACGAAGAAATTCAAAGCTTGTTGTGTGTGTGTCCTAGGTTGTAGCTTGTAATTTCTTACGTTGGTAACAGGGGAGGAAGTGTTGATAACACTGGTTTGTAGCCGTTGTTATTTATAATTATTATTTTGTTAGTTGATAGTTTCGAATATGTTATATAGTTTCAAAACAATGTTTATATGAGAGCCTTGGCTGATTATTCATTTGATTTGCTATACATACAAGCATTTTATTACATTTGCAGTGAGAGTCATAACAAATTGATAACTGCATATCTATATGCCATATCAGGTTTTGAAAATATGATTAAAAGAACAACTAAGTGTGACTACTACAATTTTGTTCCTTCACAAATAACAATCTAAACCCCACATATTAATTTTGATTTTTGTGTTGTTTAATGGTTAAGGCAAGATAATCTTTGTATATATATATATATTCCCAGCAACGACGAGCTTGAGGGACCACATTTTCGGCAACATCTGCCATCATATATATATTGTATATATTGATTTCTTTCTCCACAAGAACATGATCAAATGTGTGAATAAAAAACACAAGACATGCACAAGAAACTTAAGCAACACACAAACCACACATAAAACAATTAAGTTAAAAAAAAAAAAAAAAAAAAGATCATAGAATGTGAGGGTTTACAAAAAATATCATCGAAATTTTCGTTCTGGTGCAAGAAACTCTCCATTTCCTTGTTTTGTGCCTCATTAAATATAGTAAGATCATCATCCTTCTCCAACGATCGAATCCCGCTTTTCAAACTTCAACAGTAATTTAGGAGCGAAGAGAGCTACAAGAAGCCGGTATCTTCTCAAACACAAGGAGAAGTCGTTATTGTTGATTTGCCCATCGCAGTCCACATCAAGCAGACCGTAAAGTCCATTAATCTGCAAAAACATTACAACCAACAGATTGAAAGGCTCGCCGCTGTTCTGTTATTATTACACAACTCAAAATAAACGCAGGTTAATTCTGTCACAAATTACCAAATAATGATGAGAAATCTTCATCGCAGGAGATGCAGGCATGGTTGGACTCCACACCTCACAAATCAATTACCCCCACAAAGCTTCAATCAAATCCTTTCAGAACTTCAAACATGGTGAAGATCAAATAAACCAATCAGCTGCTAGTTTTCGAAACTACAAATGGATTATTCTTTACCCTACACCAAACCCTTTACCCTACACCAAACCAAAGAACTCAAATCCAATTCACATTACCAAACAGTGAACTGAATTAAATAACAATGTGGATCAAGCAGCTGCTCTCGCCATGATTAATTTGCAACAATAAACATAGCTTCAGAGTACATATTAACAACTGCAATGCATAGATTTTGGCATCATAACAAACTGAACAACATAATTTAGGGCAGCCGAGGATGAGCCTTAAATCCTGCCTCTTGGCTAGTCCCTGAATGCTGCTGTTAGAAACTACTATATGTTGTTGCTTCTCTATAATCTGAACCACTCTCTGATCAGTTTTCAGGAGCCCTCATTACTGGTCCCTTCATGATCCTTCATTCATAACAAAATATTGAATAGAAAATAACAAATAACAAAGTTACAAATTTCTTTGTAACTTTGAATATTCAGACAATGCACCTTTTTCAAATTTGCACCATTTAGTTTTCTAGATCCAAGATGAACACAACAACAATCAAAATCGAATAAAACTTTTTTAAAAAAAATAAA